GGGGAGCAGGGGGTCCCCCCTCAGCACCCAGGGGGCTTCCACGGGAGGGGGAGCAGCCCCCGGGTGCTTCCTCACGTTCCCACAGCACCCAGCACGACATGCGGGGAGGGGTGAAGTGGGTGGCTGACAGGAAGGGTGCCTGAAAATCGTCATTTTTAAAAATTATTGTTATCTCAGGCAGAGGGGGCTGATACCAGAAGTTTGCCTGGGGGTGTCTGAGAATGACCTGGTGCAGCACCCACTGTGTTTGGCTCTGCCCATGCTCCTGTAGCACCTAGGGCTGGACACAACCACCTAGGCCCCCAAAATGGGGCCCAAGAATGGGGAAAATGATGATGATTATTATTGTTGCCTCTGGCGGGAGAGGGGCAGATACTAACAGTCTGTCCAGGGCCGCCAGGAGTCTAGTTATGGTGCTGACAGCACCCAGTGGGTTTGGCATGAGCCCCTGGGGATTTGTTTTGCCCACTGGTGGCAGTTGTTGCTCCTGACAAGTTCAGGGCTGGTGGTGGGGGGCTGGTCTGTGTTGAGCACCTGGTGTGAGTTGCTGCTGCGGGTGGGCCTGGTAGCTGGTTTTGGGGGTGTTGGTCTAAGGACGTAGGGCAGGTATCCAGGTCATAGCCATATTGGTCTAGAGCACTGGTTCCCAAACTGACAGGTTGTGCATGACCAATTGAAAATGATACAACCTTCAGTACCACCAGCCAGTCATCTGAAGTAATTATAAAAAATCTATTAACACGTACCAATGACAGGTTGTCTGCATGCCACTGGTGGTACCTGTACCACAGATTGGGAACTGCCGAGGCAAAAGGAATCAAAAGTTGTGGTCTTTTTTTTTTTTTGCAAATATCTAGTTGGTCTCATAAGTCTTGATTTGCAAGCTATTATTATTTCTTTAGCACAGGCACCCTTCCTCAGGCATAGGAGATTGCAAAGATTGTAAAAGTTCTCCCAGGTAGAAATGAAAATTCATGTTTAAGGACATAGGCAGACAAGGTTCTTTGGGTAGATGCGATGTCTTTTGTTAGACCAACTAAATAGTTGGAAAAATGTTTCCTTGCAAGCTTTTGGGTACAAAGGCCCTTTTTTAGGCACAGGGAGATTCTGCTGGTGTTATGCGTTCTCCTGGATGGATAGAAGCTGGTACGTAAAAATGCAGGTCTGTGAAAATGCAACTATGTGGTAGTGAGGATCAGAGGGGGTGAGAGAGGATGGGTGCGACACATGTAGGTGGAGTGGGGGAAGAGGGAATGGTGACCTGGTGATAGGATGTAGCTGGTAAAGTGTAGAGAGGTTACTGGGGGTTATTGGATGGTAGCCAATCTTGTCTGGGTAGCTGATGTTACCTGTGGCTTCATCCCATCACAAAGCCTTTTGGGGGTCCTTCCATGAGTGTTGCATGGATATTTTTACCTCTGCCTTGAGAGAGACCTGGTCCTCTCAAGCCTTTTGGTGGCACTGATGTTTTAAGCTTCCGGCTCATGTTTTATTTCGTCAGATACCCGATGTGCAGCTCATAGACCTCCATCCAGTACTGCAGTAACTGCCATCAGAAGAAGTGGGCAGACAGGGTTCTTTGGGTAAATATGATACCTTTTGTTAGACCAACTAGATTGTTGGAAAAATTGTTCTTTGCAAGCTTTCAGGCACAAGCATGCAAAGAACAATTTTTCCAACTATTTAGTTGGTCTAATAAAAGGTATCACATTTACTCAAAGAACCTTGTCTGCCTACGTCCTTAGACCAACATGGCTACAACCAACAACCCTAAAGCATCAGAAACAGCAGGCAGCCAGCCCCTTCATTAGTCTTCAGCCATTGCTGTGATTAAAAGGAATTATTAATGCCAGCAACTCATTGCTCATACCCTTGCTTTGGTAGAGGCTTAAGGAAAGACCACATATCAAAGTAAATATTGGGAATATTATGTGACGAGCTATGGGATTGCCTGCAGTCAAAACTTGACGGGCTGAAAATACCCATTGGGGTTTAATAGTAGAAATCTTCATTGAGTGCTGAATCCTTGTTGAACATAAAAACTGGTGGTATCCTCTCCTTCCCTGCTTAGAAATTTTATTTTTGATTCAGAATGTTTGTTTTCATGTAGAATTTCTAAATTAGTGTAGTCGCAACTAAAGGGATGGAGTCCTAGGTTATTGCAAAATGGCAAATGATGAGAAATTTTTGAAGAGATGTATAATCATACTTGGAGACTGGCTCTTAGGGTGATGTTTTTGCCTGAAGCCATTTCTGTGCTATATATTTTGACTCAGAGCAGTATGTTGTTTTCTTGTGGGAACCTTGTCACTTGCAGTTTCTTTGGAGAATGACAGTTTTTAGGTCCTTTAAATGAGCAGTTCAGGATTCTCCATATCCCAGGCTAGTTAGGTGTGTTTGTGTTTGATTGGAAACAAGGCCTAAAATTGTATTCACTTCTCAGATCTGCAAAGAGCCCTATGCAGAGCCATAGAAAGTCAAAGTTAAGGCTTTCCCTAGCCTTTTTCTGTACCCTGAAGAATGGGGCAGTAGATGCAATTGGACAGGGACCTTTCCTTGACAGTTTTGCATGGCTGTAGGTATTCCGTAAAAATGTCAAGGAACTTGCTGCAAAAATATATGAATTTAGAGGTACAATTCTGTGTTTATTCTTGAGGAATATTGTGTGTTGATTAATTACAAACCTTTTTGCCTTGCTAGGTCTTTGTCAGGGTTGTGTATGCATGTGTGTACAAAGACTATTGCTTACACAAAACTATACAGAATATAATTGGAAGTTCCTATATTTTGGTTAGATAAAGGAATGGGAGGGAATGAAAAAAGAACTGAAGTTACAGAATTTTTAGACCCTTTTACCTTGATTATCATGTTGTGAAATAATGCAGGGTTTTGCTCCCATGATAGAGAATTAACAGGGCCTCTGCCTTGGAAGGGAGAATTGTGGTTTTGTTTTTTTTTGTTTTTTGTTTTTTTGCTTAAAAGAGAAAGTAGTATGTGTGTGTGGTGGGAAGGGTGGGGGTGGAAAGACTCCTATTTTTCCTCTCTCTTCCCCAGCAGAACCATTGTGACACTAGAAGGAAACATTGTAAACAAGTGTGTTTGCATAGGGAAATGAGACCCTATTTCTTGGGCAGATTCCTGTTGAATACAATGGCAATTCTGAGTTATAAACAGATAGCAGTATCAACCCCCACCTGGACGGATTTTCTTTTTTTATAAATATATGCCTGATTGTGCCGTGCATTTCACATATATTTACTTTGTTTAATCTGGTTTCTGAGTAGTCCTTTTTTTGCAAACCATACTGAGAAGTTCCTTTGAACTATATATATTTTTTTACGACTTTAGTGCTTGTAGAATGTTAGACTCTGACAGCTCTGGAGACCAAAGTCCTCTTTTGCACAGCAGAACATGCAGCATTGGGTTGGCAATTACTCTGAGTAACGTGCCTCATTCCTGTCTTGATAAGGCAACTGGTAGGCACAAGTTTTCATCCAACTATGGTGCCAATTATGATGGTAGCTTTTATTATATGGCCTCGAATCTCTTTCTTTTATTATGTAGCCTCTATTATTGTTCTTTTATAATGGGCTCCCAAAGAGTCATCTGATCATCCTTCCTAGGTTGTATTTCAGCATTTTTGCCCAAAGCATTTTATTTGGGTTTAGATTGCTGCCTTTAAAATCTGTGAATTTCAATTGAAACTGTAGTTTAAGCAGGTCCCTGGAAAAGTAGTGTTACCGCAGCTGAAACATTTATCAGAGATGATGCGTTATTTCCTGATGCAGGTTGTTTTGCTGCAGTGAATTTTGAGAACGTTTTCAATTACCCTACATTAATATAGTAGCATAACATAATTTAGTTCTTCCCCTGCATTAAATGTCTGTTGCATGCAAACTGAATGAAAAGAACATTCAGTTGAAGAGGTACAAAATGCCATAGTTAAGGTTGCCTTGTGCCTATTCGGTACAATAGTTTAATAGTATGGTCACATGCTATTATTTCCCTTCCCCACAGGACCACTGCCTCATTTAGCAAAATTGGTAGTTAGGCATTTAAAAAAAAAAAAAAAATCTCTATAGTGCATTTCCTTATGGGCTTTTTTTGTATCCCTCCCATTGAATTTTAAATTAACTTTTTTTTTGTATAAAACTAACTTCATAAATGGCTTGTGCAGCAAGGTGGTATTATCTCCATTTTACCTTGGGGGAAGCCAAAACTGAGAATCTGAATCTCATGTTGGGAATCAAGAACAAAATGGTAAGATGTCTCTTCCTTTAGTTCATGGGCCTCATGAAGAAAATCTCGCACTGATTCAGTAGCCTTTGGATCAGTTTTGGAGTTGGAATAGACATGGAGCTTTGTGGAGTGATGGAACTTCATGGGAGAAGCAGGGGGAGATTCCAGTGCTCTGGGATGGCATTCTGCTTCTTTAACCATGTGACAACATGCCTTTCTCTTCCTGCAGTCCCAGCTTCACATAACTTCCAACTTTATACATTTTTTTTGTTTTACTTTGAAGGTAAATAACTCACCTTGCACAGGCCCATCCCCAGGGGACTCTGGAGTCTCAAGTTTCTCCCCACTGTGCTGCCTCCTGCCCCAAAATATAGACCTAGGGGATAGCTCCCATCCCAGCAAGCCTCAGTTCCACTGCCTTGTTCCACTGGAGGATCAGTTCCACAAGGATCAGTTCTGCTGGATCTTCCAGCTGCAGTGAAGGAATCTCATCTTGGGTTAGGGAAGAAATTGCCTGGAAATCACTTTTTCCACAGGCAATTAGTCAGGAGACGCACAACAAAAGGATTTATTATAAAAACAGAACAAGCATAAGAAATCAGTAACCATGTGCTGAGATAGACAGGGAAATAAGACTAAACAAAAAAAAAAGAAAATACCAGAATATTGAACTGTTCTTACTTTGCACCTTAAATCCAAGGATGCAGTCCCTAGCTAGCTTCACGGGTCTAAATACAGACTCTGCCCCTGACCTTTCCTGTCAGGACTTCCTGTATCTTTTGCTCTTCCCAGCTTCTATGGCTAGAGGACCCCCAGCACGCATGCGCGTGAAAAAGTCACACTTTTGAGGTAGGCTTAAGTACTTTTGCTAGTCTGGTAATTAACATACTCACCCCTGTGTTTCTAGGTATGCCAGTAATTCCTGACTCTCAAAGGTGCATATTTACTAGACTACAAAATTGCATCTTTTTTTTAGAAATGCAGATGGCCTAATGCAATATCCCTCTCTCCCCCATGATAGTTTTGAGTAGCCAGGTGTTAGGCTTCTGCCTTTTCTTTTAAAATGTAAATTTCTCACTGCCTGACCCGATCTTGGCTTTCCTGTGCCTACATCCCACATTGGACCAGTAAACAACCCCAGTCAAGTGCTAATTATCAGCCATCAACTCTTCTAAGTGTAAACAGTTGAGGGCTGCTCAAGTTAATAGCTGCCTTACTGACACAACCTGGCTGTGATTCATTGGTATATCAAATGCTGTAAGGCAGGCAGGTATGAGAACAATAAAACTGTGAACACAACTTTGCCGTAGCTACAATTAGATTAAGCACCACAAGAGTGAGCCTAATTTGGGAGAATCACCATGCATGCCACATGGTGACCCCACAGAAGTAACTTTGTCTTGCGGTGAATCTGTGATACCAGCTTCTACAAGAATTAGGAGTGACCTGAAGAAGAATGCACCACATTAGAAAGCTTCGTCTAAGTCTATCCCTAACCATGCAGTTAATCCAAAAGATATTACCCCCCCAAATTCTTTCTTCTCTTACATCTTGGACCATCAACATCACTTCTATACTACTACACACATTGATGCCTGCAGTGCATGTAGTGATGCCTGGAACGTTTAGGTCCACCATGTAGAACTGTGCTTCTTGCCATCAGCTTACAGTAGCTGATGGCAATAATTGGTGGTTGTTCTCCTCTATGAGCACCAGCCCTGGAGGAAGATGAGATGCAATTTCCAGTAGGTTGTATAGTTATTTGTTAGGAGCAAAGGAATGGTGAAACACTGAGGTCTTGCATTCTGTTTTGGGTCTGAGATAAATAATTAGTAGTCACAGGCCATTTGGTCTCCATTTCTCCATACTTGCGTCTGACCTCCTTTTGCCTCATCCCCTCCAGTGTGTGTTAGTCCTGCATGTCTCCTTATAAGGAGCTTCTCCAAATTAGTTTCCTTGGTTGGTCATAGCATTGCTGCCCTCCCCAACCTAGGTTATGTTATATCTGCCTGGCTTCCAATTCTAGTCCCCTTAGCCTGCAGCCCCCAGGTTCCTTATCTCTCTACTGTCTCCTGCTTCCCTCCTCAGATTCAGCGTTTCCATCAGACTAGTTCTTTCTCCCAGCTGCCTCCTCACTGGTAGGAGCAGTGAGAGCACAGGAGAAAGTGGGCCTTTGCTCTTTAATTTTTGGGCCCAGTATCTGTAGTTGAGGGTTCATCTTGGGCAGGTAAATTGATGGAAAAATACAGCTTGCTTGGTCTATTCCAGCATCTTAATAAGTTAGCTGTCATATGGTAAAGCCTCCCTGACAGATATGTCCTTAAATTGCAGAACAGCAGAATTGCTAGAAGTTGGCAGAATGTAATTACCTAACTTTGAATTTGGCCAAGACACTGGATTTAAGTATGCTCTTAGGAAGGCCAACGTTTGGATAGTGATCAGGATCTTGGTTTTGGGTTTCACTTAGGTCTACATTTTCTAACAAGGTAGTTTCCTTTTCCCTTGCAGAAGCCTTGTTCTAGTATCGGCCTTGTAGACAGTTCTCTCGTGTCATTGCAACCACTTCCTGAAGCACTTACGTTTTGTGTCATGCAAGTAACAGTCTACTCTAACCCTGTTTAATATGAGAGATGCATTTTGGGCCTATGCAGTAAAATGGCATAGCTAGAAATATAATGCCATACTTATTAATTGTAAGTGAGATGGGGCAGAAGGGCATGCACTTAGGTTATCAGTTAATGTATTGTAATGTGCAAGGTCAGTGGCATGTTTTGAATATTTCTTGGTGTTATTTACCCAGTCTGAGTTCTTCATTGTGACTGTAATGTGTCTACTTTTAAATTGCATTTCAAATCAGATAGTATTTTATTCTTTTTATACAAGAAAAATAAGTTATTAATACGATATTAAAACTGCACACTGTCATTTTAACTTAAACAATGATGAAATAAATAAGCAGTCCTTGAAGTACATAAGAGTATCCATATGTGAAATCTCTCCTGCTAAGTTAAGTTCAGGTTTAAAATTAGATACCTATTTTAAAGGTTTAATTTAAAATAAGTGGCTGGCTTTTTATCTTGACTGTACAAATTCTTAAAGACTTTTGTTTACTTTCAATTAAAAATACTAGGAGGGAGAAAATATTTTTAAAATTTGTGATTCTAGTTTTGGTAGTTGTGATACCTTTTATTAGATCAACTGAGTAGTTGGAAAAAAGGTCTTGGCAAACTTTTGGGCACAGTCACCCTTCTTCAGGCATGTGGACTCTCTATGCCTGAAGAAGGGTGACTGCACCCAAAAGCTTGCCAAGAACTTTTTTCCAGCTACCCAGTTGGTCTAATAAAAGATCATATCTACTCAAAGGCCCTTGCCTGCCTATGTCCTTAGACCAA